AGAAATTTATCAAGATTTTTCATCTCATCAGAAAATTAATACAGAAAATCTGTCAACCTGAGGAGGGGAGGACATCATTATGTGCAAGTCTAAAAAAAACAAGTGAGTCCTCAAATTCTCATGTTTTCGTTCCTCTCTAACCTAACCAAACCTAACCTAGCCTAACAGATACAACGGCATCACAACTATCATTAATTAATTAGGATTTGGCTAATTATCATTCATTAGTTTACATTATCTATATTTGCCAATATAAACAAGTTAAATATGAATATAAATAAACCAAACCTTATTTATATTATTATAAAATTTTGAAAAAACAATAAAAATTAGCTCGTGGCACAAACAAACGTCATTCTAAATAAAAAATTTAACTGAAAATTTTATATAATTTCTAACCTGTGGTTCGCGGACATTTACCTGGTGGTCCGCGAGCAAAGTGTGAAGTGAAGTTTTTTTTTTTAAATAAAAAAAATGAAAAAGATGAACTCCGATTGAGTCTTTCGAGCATTACGCCTCGTTTGGATAAGCAAGCTCAAGACTCACACTGAAACTAAATGTAGCCTTATTTCTAATGTAGTTGGCACGTTAAAAAACCACCTGTTTATTATTATTCGTTATTGTTAGCAAGTGAAATTTGTTCATTGTAAAAGATGCAATTACAATTTGTTTCATATTTGACATAAAAATTGATATGTCAGATACGCCGTGAGGTACGCTGCATGCAAACATCAAAGTAAAACGAACATTATACTTTTTAATTTGAAGTTAAAACATTTATTAAAATATATAATTGTGTTGCTGTTACGTCATTATATGAAATAATAATTATATATATATATATATATATATATATATATATATATTTCAAGTGCGCTAGTAGCAATATTTTCAGTGGTGGTCCGCGGCTGGGACGCACATTTTTAAAGCGGTCTTTGAATCTTAAAAGATTGAGAAGCGCTGTTCTAAAGCATCAAATAGTTTTAATTTTATTTTTTGAAGTTTTATTTTGCATATAATTTAATCTTCTAGATGCAATATAACAAAAAAATATACGAGCCTGCAGAAATGTAGGCAAATGTTTATTGCATTTGTACGGCTCAAAAACGAAATTATCTGCTGATGCTAATTAATGATAATGTGGATAATGGTTATGTTGATGATTGCAATGATAATGATTATTATGAAAATAAGAATAATTTAAAATTGATAAAAACAATAGTTGTCATCAATAACTGATTTAGATTAATCATGTAATTTTTTAAACACCATCCATACAGGTCTAAAAGCAATGAGGGACCAAGAGAATATTTTACAATTTTAAGTGATGATGCTGATGTAGTGTATTGAATTGTGTTCCATCGTTTTGTACTCTATTGCTATTTAGGTTTTATATATTTGTTTGCACTCATTCTTCTGCATCCGTGTCAATAAGTAACAATGAAGATGATACTGATGATGATGATATTGATGGTGGTGATGTTGATAAGGCGGAGGAAATTTTGATGATGATAATGACTAAAATATTATTGTCTACAACAACGATGCAGACGATGTTTCGTTGCGTAACTTTGTATGCTTAGACTTTTTTAAAAGAGTCACTAATTAAAAACATACCAACGAAAATCATCTAAACTTTTAGCACGAAATATAATTTCTGAAGACGCCAATTGTTTAGAACGCTTCATCAGTGTAAAGTAATTTATCTTCATAATATATTGAAACAGATGGCGATGACGTTGATGACGATGGTGACGATCTTCCTCATCATGATCATCTTTTCAGTTGGTGCCTCTGCCGAAAACTTTGCGGCCATTGGTTGACGGGAGGAAATGCATGCTTTCTCATTGGATGTCGAGAAATCCATTTTAAATTATAATTATGCAATGTGTACATTGAATGCACAATATAGATGTACATACATATAAACATATATGTGTATGTGCGTGCAAGTTTGTTTGCATGAGTATCGTTTTATATAAAATATTTAATAATTTCCTCACATGTTTACGTAGCAAATCTTGTTTTTGTTACAATGGCGTTTTAGGAAATGTCACATCACGTGATATCCTCCATTATTTTGTTTCCAATTCCTTCTTATTTTTATTGCGAGAGAGCATGACATAGATGCTATATATTTATTATATTTATAAATGTTTATATGTTTAAATATGTTTATATATATATATATTATATATATATATATACTTACATATATATTTACAATATTATAGATACACTACATGTAATAATCCACTGTTCAAAATTTTTTTTGGAAAATTTTTTACTAGGGTACTTGAAAAAATACTTTATACTGATTTTACTTGAACCTAGTATAAATGGAAATTAACACATATACATATATGATACATAACATACACAAATACACTCATATATGCATATATTCATATATACTTATAAAAAATTAAGGTCGACACTGTCCTATGTACAATTATTACAAAAATATCACTAAATTTTCAGCTTTGAGACTGCTGCATCTTTCTTTTAATATTACTGATTCTTGTCTATCTTGGTTTTCTTCTTATCTCTGTAATCGTTTTTCTTCTGTTGTTCTCAATAATTCTACTTCTAACTCCTCTACTCTTACTTTCGGGGTACCTCAGGGTTCTATCCTTGGCCCTCTTCTATTTATACTCTATACTTCTGAACTACCTCGTATTATTAATAACTTTTCTTTCTCTAGTCAACTATATGCTGATGATTCTTATATTTATACTTCTTTTCCTCCATCTAATCTCAATAGTGTTCTTCATAATTTATCTCTATGTCTTTCTTCGATTATCGCTTGGTCTGACTCTATGTGTCTTAAACTTAATCCTTCTAAGTTTGAATTAATTTGTTTTAATAAATCTAAACACTCAATTACTATTCCTCCTATTATCATACCTGATTCTAAAACTCTTGATGTCTCTCATAAGTTTCGTAGTCTAGGTTTTATCTTTGATTCTACTATGTCTCTCTCTTCTCAGATTAATAGTGTTGCTAGAAGCTCTTACTTTCATCTACGTAGAATAAAAAAACTTTTGCCTTTTCTTGATGATCCTACTCTTCTCCTTCTTGTTACTTCGTTAGTCTTATCTAGGATTGATTATTGTAACTCGCTCTACTATGGTCTTCCTGACTCTATACTCTATCCTTTAAGTAAAGCTTTTTACTCTGCTGCTCGTCTAGTTGCTCGTGCCCCTTTCTTTTTCATACATCTCCATATCTTATTCTCTTGCACTGGCTACCTATAAAATATAGAATAATTTTTAAAATTTGCACGTTCATGTATAAGTCTCAATCTAAATTATTTCCTAAGTATTTATCAGATATATTAATTGAACCTAAACGCCCCGGTTTACGATCGTCTTCTTCTTCTCGCTTTTTCTTAACTCGAGTTAAACACTCTTTTGCCAAATCTGCTTTTGCTTTTTCTGGTCCTTTTCTCTGAAACTCTCTACCTACTTCTCTGACTACTTCTCCATCACTTGCGAAGTTCAGAGCGGATCTCAAGACCCAAAATTCATTGAGGTGCGCTGTAAGCTAATTGATTGATTGATTGATTGATTTGATTAGTTAAAACACACACCCCACACACACACACAAACATATATATATATACATTTGTATGTTGATGGAAAAAAGATATATATTCATCGTATGTATGTATGTTGATAAAAAAAAATGTTTAATTTGTTGAAAATGTAAAATTGTATAAAATAATTATTAATTTATAAATGTAGAAAGTAAATGATTTTATTTTAGTTTGTCTCTCCTCATCTGACATTTTAAATTTGCAGTCCTACCCATCGCTCATCAACGTTTAAATTTGTTTTTCAAACTAGAACGAAGTACTGCTATCTCATGTCACTCATGTCTCGTGCATCGCGATATAAATCATGATTAACTAGCAACTACACGCGAGTGATTTATCGAATTCCTTTTAAATATCTCCATGCACTTTATTATTTCTATATTGGGCTCACATTGAATTTTATGAATTAGTATTAACATTCTGTTTTTTCAACGTCAACGATTTTGTCTAATAAAAAGCTGTTCATCTGTTCCATCAACCAAATAAGTCGTTTTAATATATATATATATATACATATACATGTATGTATATATATATATATATATATATATATATATATGATTAAGACTGTTAGAAAATTTTCAACAATTATTGATGAAAATCACAGCATGTTCAGCGTTAATTAACTTCCTGTTTAATTTTTTGATTTTTCTAACGTTTGATTGTCAATCATTGTCAAGTTTCTTGAGTTTAGAATCAAAATTTTTATTTGTTTTAAGCATGATGGAACATACAAACGTGATAGAACAAAAAAGGTTTTTTTCGGTATTCCTACCATCTTTGGTGTTCTAATTGATACGTTGTGTATGTGGCCAAATGCTCAAGTATGTACATCCTGCGCCTCTACAATGTTAATAATTTTGTTTTTGAACTCAAGAAACTTGAGCTATTTACGATCTACCGTTAGAAAAATCGTATGTATATAACACCTCATTAATAATCTGCCTTGAATGTTAAATATTGTTATGTTACACTGATATATGTTGTTTAGTTGCTATATTTTACGCGTTATCACATCGCAAGCTCACCACACAAATATGACTGCAAGTATAGACGCAAGTGTGTGCACATACAAATATATGTATGTGTGTGTGTGTATGCCACTGCGTGCAGTTAATGTGCATACGCGTTTCGATCATTCCATATGCCTTTTCAACATGGGTGGGTTCCTAAATTAAAAGAAATTTCAATTTTAAAACCTACAACCGTTGTAATTGATTATAGTGAAGAATCGCATGCACTCAATTTTTAAGGATAGTGTTAAGTTAAAATTAAATTTGAAACACATGTTAATGACTAGAGACGGTGTATCTTCATTCATTATTTTTTCATTTTGTTATTTTCAACGTATTTGTTCGTCATTTATTTTGATGAATATTGTGATATATCGCATTATATCTGCTATGAGATAATTTATTTAATAAAACTGCAGACTTCAATACAAAAATAATAAATCAACATTCATCTTGAGGGCAGGCAATAAATCATTCAAACTTCCCGATCTTAAGAAGTTAGTAGAAAAAAAAAATCGAGGCTAAAGTCAAAACATATAAAAAATATTATAATTCGATCGTGTTGAGTGAACAAACCAATCAATCAACCAATCGACCGAAACCGATCAATCAAATAAATAAATCATTTAATCCATTAATCAATCAAACATCTATTGACCAATCGATTGGCCAACAATCAAGTGAATTAATCTTTTGAAACGATTAGAGAATAAAATATTCAATTAAATGATGAACCAGCCAACCAGTGAATCAATCAACCAGCCAATCGACCAACCAATCAACCAACCAGCCAATCATCCAATCAACCAGCCAACCAATCAATCAATTAATTAATCGATAAACCAGCCAACCGACCAACAAACCAACCAACAGTCGCATCAACTAGACAACTCCTTATCTGCATCAAGAGGTCTCAGTCCCCTAATACTTAAGTCGTAAACAATCTCCTCAACTTTCTTCAAATCATACTTCAGTCCATCATATCTCTTCCTCAGCCAATCATTCTTCAAGTTCAAGAGGCGAAACCCTGAATCTAATTCGGCCATGAAACGAGCGATTCTGATTGGTAGGTCATACATGCCTGCTGTCACGGCATTGGTCGAGAGGCGGGACTACAATGATATAGAAGACTTAAATTTCTAACAAAAATTATTGTTAAAAAATATTGTTAAAAAAAATTTTACAAAATTGTAAAAAATTGTTTAAACAACAACAAAACATATAAAAAAAACCTTGATGAATTTAAAAATATTAATTATTGAATGCCAATCAAAATATGTACCAGTTCAGACGCCAACATCAGCTGACCGATCAGGTAATCTTCCAGCTCCAAATGGAAACCACTTTCACTGCTAGTGCTAACTGTTCACAACAACAATTATCATCATTAGTAATACTATTACTATAATTAATTTTTAATAATAATAATAATAATAATAATAATATTATTATTATTATCATAAAAATACTATTACATAATATATTAATAAGTATTATAACTTAAAATAATATAGATACTATTATAAATAATTATGATAATTAACAACATGTATAAACATATAAAATATAAACACTTATATATATATATATATATATATATATATATATATATATATATAATATAAAACTTATATATATATATAATATATAAAATAAAATATAAACACACACACACACATATATATATATATATTTATACAATACTATTTATAATTAACATAATAAATGACTTGCAACTAACTTGCAAAAATTTCAGCGCACTTATGATGAGGCAGAAACGATTGATCGGTGAGGAAAGCAATGTAGCAAGCCAGGAAGCAGAGTTTTTGCATCGTCATCCTCCACAGATCATTGTATCTACATTGACATTTCAAATTTTATAACCCAAAATTACATGCACTTATTGCAACTGTAGTAGTGGTAGTTTAACTGAGTGGCAAAACAGTGTAGCTTAGTGGTTAAGACGTCTGGTTGTGAATTGCAGTGACCAGATTCAAATGCGAAGAAGCCCCCACATTTTACATGCAATATGAGTAATGCAATATTCACGTGTACTTTAGTATCAGTATAAATATATGATTTTCAAATTATCCCAAAATTTGCCCTTATCAAGCACTTCATTGTATTTGTATGCGATCTCTGTCCGTATGTCATTGATTCCCTGAGTGGTACAGTAGAAGAGGATAACTGTTATCATTGTACTACCACTCTCTCCACTATAAATTAAAACTTTTCGAAAAGCGCATTAGAGTTAGTTGAATGTGAATGGTATATAGTATAAATAGTTACTTATAATAGCAAATGAGAGAAAATTTTGACTCCAATGCCTTTAGCGTTGTTTGAACTTCTCGTAATTTGCTGCTACAATTCTCACAAATCTGTCTAACTTAAAATGTTTATGGGAAAAAATATCACCATGACAATAAATCATCATTAGTGAAGTTAACAACTGCACAATTAATAATAATAATATTCAATAGCAACCATTGTTGAAGCCATCCTTGTGGTGAATGGCCTGTACGGTGTTTAAAATGTTTCTAGCTTGCTCTTCCAGCTCCCTCACCACTAATTTTATGCTCTTTTGACATTTAAATTAAAAAACATTTGAAATTGATTCACTGTAATTTTAATTTTTAAAAATTAAAAAATTGAAAATTTAAATTAGTAGATGTAACACAGAATATTACAAACACCATTGAATCTGTTAGGCAAGTTACAATAAGATTAAGTTGTAAAAAATTAACATATGCCTGACACAACCAAATTTCAGATTTGCTAAGTATGCTAAGCCACTAACAAAAACAAATTAAAAAATAAGAAGATACATGGTTATTGGTTAATTTCATTTCAGAGTACTCTAGTTGTTTGCAATCTATAAATAAATAAATGGCTGAATCAAAAGCCAAATATTAAAAAATACAAAGAAAGATAGACGTCCCTTGATTAGATCAGATCATCCCATGTCATGAATATGTATATACAGATTTTAACATAAATAGCAAAATTTACATATAAAAATTGTTATACAACATTTTTAAACCTCTTTAATTTCTGATTCATAATTGAAGCCATCTTGAAATTCAAGGAAGGCCTTTGTAATGTTTTCGCCAGAGGACATCTCAGACTCCATCTCTCTGTGCTCTGTTTCTACAACTACTAGCTAGATAATACTACCCACCTAATACACTATAACATGTACATGTATAAAACTATATAATAGCCTATTTTGGCTACTAAGTACTAGTACTAAAAAAAGTACTTTAACAACTGCTTAACTAACAGTTAACTTGTCTTATGTCTTAGATAATACTATATTATAACTTATTAATACTATATCATATTCTATAACAAGACCACCAACAAATTGTTAACAGCTTCTATTCAGCGGTCTTCTTAATTAATAAATAAATAATACAGAAAAAAGTGAAAAACGACTTCATTGCACTTTTTTATTACTATAATAGAAGTTAACTTTTATGCTTTTCATAGACAAAATAATTGGCGTTAAATAAATGAACAATTAATAATTTTTCAATACAGTATTTTATTACGTGTAGGATAGTCTCAGCTATGTTATTATATTTAAAATTGTTATAATTAAATTTTTAAATAAAATAACCACAAAAACATGAGCTGCTGTGGAGTGTTAAGACGAAGATGACATTGTTATGGCACATCTCTAAATTATCATCATCCACCTGATCAGGTGGAAAAGCCTTTAATTTTAATTGGACGCCATTATGTGTGCTTGTTTGTGTGTGTCCGTACGAGTGTGGTTGTATGTGTAGATGTGCTTCTGTATATGGGTGAGTCTGTTAATGTACGAGTGTCTGTGGTGTGGGCTTCTGTTTGTGTTGTTGTGCATCTGTCTGTCAATGTGTGTGAGTGTGAGTGTGTGTGTGTGTGTGTGTGTGTGTGTGTGTGTGTGTGTGTGTAATGTGTGTGTGTGTGTGTAATGTGTGTGTGTGTGTAATGTGTGTGTGTGTGTGCGCGCCTGTTTATGTATTAGTTTGCGTCCGCGTGCATGATTTTTTTTATGCTTTTTAGAGTGTGCATTTGTCGATATATCTGTATTTATGTGAGTTTTTTTTTGTTTTTTTTGTATAAGTGTGTATTTACGTGTTTGAATGTCCGAACGAACACATGTGTGTGCGGCGACATTATTTTTAAAATCTCACCACCAAACACATACTTACATACATACACAAATACACAAACACATTCACAGACACGTGCATAAAAAATTGAATTCATTTCATCACCGTACATATCCATAAATGTTAATAACACACAGGTCTATATTATAGATTTGTTTTGCTTTGAAACCATGGTGATCACACAAACATTGTATATATATATATATATTTATTATATATATATATATATATATATATATATATACACGTACTTCATACATGATATAGCGCAAAATGCTATCTTATTCGCCAGCCGTTAATTGCAATGAACCTAATGGATGAAATTTGTTTTTGTAAAAATTGTTGTTGTTGTCGTACTGATAGTTTTTTGTTGATGTAATTAAATATAATTAAGTAGAGTGTTTTTTTTGATGTAATAAATATTAGCATTTATTCAATTGATGTTTTTTTTGACGTTACAGTTGATGATATTTGATGATAGTAAGTCATTTAAACAGTCATTGTAAGTCAAATACTTCAAGTTACGTTCATATTTTCTCTCATAAAAATAGAGTAACTGATGACGCATTCTAATGATATATTTAATTGGTAATTATTTTAATTTGTATGTGCTATCTAATCTAGTTTACCCATAAACTTATATTAAATAAATATCTTTTGTAAATTCGAAATCGACGAAATATTCACTCATTTTATATATTTCACCTAAAAATAAATTAAATCTAAATCGTTAAAATATTATAAAATGGCTGATAACATTTTTTATTATATATTAATTATTAAATATTAATAATTACGAAAGATCGCAAAAAGAAAAAGTTATCCCACTAACAACTGCTTCGATTGCATAAACCAACAGTTATTTATATATAGTTACATTTATAGTTACCTAATTACCATAATTTTACCAAATACAATAAATTATTTAATTATAATTAATGATGATGTCATCGTCCTTCGAGCGATTGCGCATGTCAAAAGAGGAATGCGAGGAGTTCGTTACAAGTCTCAAGGGACTGGAAGCCACAATGAGGTTTGGACGAACTGTAATAGAATTTGTTGCGCTAGTTTGTTGTTGCCACCTACCTACCTACCTACCTACCTACCTACCTACCTACCTACCTACCTACCTACCTACCTACCTACCTACCTACCTACCTACCTACCTACCTACCTACCTACCTACCTACCTACCTACCTACCTACCTACCTACCTACCTACCTACCTACCTACCTACCTACCTACCTACCTACCTACCTACCTACCTACCTACCTACCTACCTACCTACCTACCTACCTACCTACCTACCTACCTACCTACCTACCTACCTACCTACCTACCTACCTACCTACCTACCTACCTACCTACCTACCTACCTACCTACCTACCTACCTACCTACCTACCTACCTACCTACCTACCTACCTACCTACCTACCTACCTACCTACCTACCTACCTACCTACCTACCTACCTACCTACCTACCTACCTACCTACCTACATACCTAACTAACTAACCAACTAACTAGCTAACTAACTAACTACCTACATACCTACCTACATACCTAACTAACTAATAACCAACTAACTAACTATATGACTACCTATCTACTAACATATCTACCTACATTAACCTACCTACTTAAACCTACCTACCTACATACATACCTACCCAATTTCCTCTTTACCTACCTGTACTATTACTTTATTATAATTTTATTGCTAATACTAAGTAGTAGTACTGCTGTTATTAATTCGATAACTTTGACATCACTTATTTATCAACCGTTTATCATTTTCCTTGACATATCTACATCTTTCCTTATTTGAAGATGAACGCTTAAAGAAAAGTTTTAAATTTGTATCAAAGTTTGTATGGAAGTTTTCATTAATAAAATCTGCGAGTTACTGAAGAAAAATTTTCTAACTCGGAGAGCCAAAAGTTTTTAAATCAATAAATCTAAATATGTCATGAAGAATTCATAATATTTGTAAAAGTGGGAAGGTTGAAATTTCGAAAGCATGGAACTTCTGCGATCAGATGCCGTCAACCAACTCCGATTTTTATTTTCAGTTGAGGATTGCGTTCATGTTCTAGGATTGATTAGGGCATCTTCAACTGAACAATTTTTCAAAATTTGGATATTTTACTATACCTAAATCTGTCATTTAATTTTTATAATGCTCACCACTTTTTGACAGAACTCAAGCAACTTCTTCCAACATGCCAGTCAAAAGTTAGTTTTTGACGAAACTCAACTTCTTCCAACATGCTAGTCAATAAATAGTTTTCGACGGAACTCAAACAATTTTTTTCAACATGCCAGTTATTTCTCCTTGCAACTTTTTCACTTTGTGGAAAAAGTTTCTTTGATGTTTGGAAAATGAAACCGAAATTGATGGAAAGATCTACGTTTGGTAGGTCGCCAGAAGCAGTGAGTTTTATTCTCCACTGGTGGCATTTTTACAAACGAGAAAAACTCAAGTTCTTAAAATCTGAAGTCACGATCATTAAAAATGTTTTATTAAAATTTTTAAATATCAATATTTTTTAATCGAAGACAATTTAGAAATTTACAACTGTATTAAAGTTCATTTCAAGTTTTTTCACTTCGCTACTTTTTCTAACTCTTGTTCTAACTATATACTCCAATGGTATAAGGCGGAACATTTGCACTTCACTTATGAATGTATCGTAACTCAATGGTAAATTTTATGTTGCAGTTTTTTGATCAATCTCTGTTCATTTATTCACTACTTCGCTTTTTGGTTTATTACAGATGACAACACATTTTTAAAAAATTTAAAAATAATTTTTTTATATAAATTGTTCAACATGTTTTTTCAATAAGAAACTAATTAATTTACTTTGAATGAATAAAATATTTGTAAAAAAAATAATTTTTCGCTAGTTCATTATCTTAATTTTTTACTCAAACATGTTTTAATAGTTGTAAAAGTTTAATTTAACTCAAAACCATGATTTATTTTGTTACTATTTAGTCCAATGGTAATATCATTTATCTGGCATCTTACTATAGGCATTGAGCAATACTACTTAAACTTTTGCATTGACTTGGATCTAGAAGCATTTGCGTCATTATATAATCACCCACTGCACAATCAATAATCATCTACCAATGCGTGACGTCAATAATCATCTACCAATGCGTGACGTCAATGCCCTTCTTGCCTCAAGTGAATTGTGCAAATGTTGAGAACATGCAATGCAGATGCACGCACGCCAACATTTCATTATTTATTATTAATTAGGACGTGCTTGTTAATTCAGGTTTAGTTATGATAATGGAATCATTTAAAAATCTCAAATACTTGCTTGTCATCATCACAAATCATCTCAAATCCTCACCAATCAAGAGATCATTTGAAAGCACTGGCGTCATGTGTTTCTGCGGCCAAAAAAGAAGCTCCTCCCACCGGCCAATCAGCTGCCAGTGCGAAAGGAAGTCAACCACTAACGAGCAAACCTAGTGACCCATTTTTGTCGAAGGTACACGGCAATGAACTGGGCAATGGAATCAACAGCAGTGTCACAAGGAAAGAAAAGGTCAAGATGATTAGAATGATAATGACGACGATAAGATGATGGTAATGGGCAAAACGGTGATGACGAAAATGATTTATTTGTGATTATGATGACAACTAATACAAACAAACATACCCGTGCATAAACACATAAACACGCACACACACATAGACACACGCACACACACATAGACACACGCACACAAGCGTAAACACATGCACACAAACACACACACGAAAACATAGGTTACGATTTACGTTAAAACGGTTTTCTTGAAAGTTGGCGAAATTGATACCCTGAGGGATCGATTTGCTGCCGATGCATTTGTGCAAGCTAAGTGGCGGGAACCTGCGCTTGACGGGAAACAAAATCTGGTTGGCTGGTTGATTGATTGGTTGGCTGGTTGACTGATTGGTTGGCTAGTTGATTGATTGGTTGACTGGTTGGTCGGTTAGCTGGTTGATTGGTTAGTTGGTTTGCTTTGTTGGTTGGTTGACTGGTTGTTGGTCGGTCGGTCAGTTGGTTAATTGATTGTCGCTTGATTGGTTGGTTGGTTGGTCGGTTGTGTTTGGTTGATTGGTTAAGTGATTGGTTAAATGATTGGTTGATAAACTTCAAACTTGTTGGTTACTGACTTGATTAGTGAAATTGGCTACATGATCGATCGATTAATCGATTTGTTGTTTAATTGGTTAATTAAATATTTAGTTACTGATTTAGTTAATTAATAGATAATAAATTGTTTGAAATTAAAATAAAATCGCTACTTCCTACCTTTAGACTAAAAATTTTTCTCATTAAATTTTGAGTTTAAAAAATTAGTTAATGACTTTTGCTTCATACTATTATTGATTGCATGTTGGCTGCGCATCATCATTTTTGTTCACCGCATTTCTTTTTTTTGTTTTTCAGCAATATTGTCATTTTATGTCAATGATCTATTTTTAGTAGTAGAAGATAAAGTGTGTTTACCCCAGCCAGCATTTCAAAATGATTGTCTTTATTTGCTTAGTTAGAAAGTATCTGAGTTGTTGTGATGGGCAACTTCAAACAAGCGTTTAAAATGATGTTTAAATCTCAGTTAAGGACGACGGCGCAATTAATCACTGGCTGTTTAGTATTTGCTGAACGCTCATCAGTAATGACCGCCATGCGACCAGTTTCTTTATTGAAATTGTTTTAAAAGCTATCTTTGAAAAACTTATATCGTTATATCGGTTTTTTTTTAATTTATACTTTGTGCTGACAGTTTTCAAATATTTGTCAAATGTTTAGAATCAATTTGATGGTTGCAGTTGATAATTTTGTTTAAACAAATCTTGAGTCAACAGTACGTAACGACAGAGAATAAACGCCAACAGCCTATTACAGTTATGAAAATGCATTGTCATAAATGCTCATAATCAAACAATTGCTCACCGTTCACCGCAATCAACCCTGATTGGCTAACAATCAGCCAACCAGCCAACTAACCAACTAACTACAACGACCAACAACAACAAATAACCAACAACATAATCAACAAGCAGCATCACCAAACAATAAAAAACGAACAACCAGCCAACAAGTGAGATCGACTGGAGCAACTACTGGTCTCCGAAACTCTCCATCGACAACGTGTTCGGCGACCCGAAGGAGACAGTTTGGCACACGGTGTTGTTCGACAGCCGAGGCACCGCCATGATATGTCAGAAGAGGAGGGTGAACGGTTCCTTTCTCGAGTACATGGAGTTGAATCAATTTCCGTTTGATACGCAGGTTCTTCTGTTTGTGTTTGCGTTCTTCTGTTTGTGTGTCTGAGTGAGTGTTCGCGCGTGCATGCTTTATGTGCGAGTTTGTCTGTGTGTGCGTGTCTGTGTGTTAGTTTATGCCATTAAAATTGTGCGGTTGTATGTGTGTGTGTTTGTGAATGTGGGTGTATCTGGAGGCTGTGTGCCTATCTGGATGTACCATTTATTTGTTTTTTTTCTATTTATTTATATTTACTGTATTTTTGTTTCAGTGCTTGTTTTTAAGCGCCTGTCTCTACATTGCGGATTATGTAAACTTGTATGTTTCAGCGTTTATGATGTATGTGTGTGTGTTTTTATGTTATGTATATGTCGTGTATGTTTTACTGTTTATGAAATATGTATATATATGTTTTTTATGTTAATGTATATATGTTCCAATGTTTATGAACATACCTCCGCGTTTTCAAGCGTAAGAATTATTTGCGCGTTGAAACAAACCATTCATCACTATTTTGTCGTCACTTGAAATATTAAAAATAATATCAAAATGTTTGTACGTATTTTGTTTGTGCGTATGTGTGTTTGTGCGTATGTGTGTATGTATGTATGTATGTATGTATGTGTGTGTGTGTTTGTGTGTGTGTGTGTGTTTGTTTGTTTGTATGTATGTATGTATGTATGTATGTATGTATGTATGTATGTATGTATGTATGTATGTATGTATGTATGTATGTATGTAGGTATGTACGAATGAATGAAGAAATGAATGAATGAATGAATGAATGAACAAACAAACGAACGAATGAACGAATGGAAAGAGTAACAAAAAAGAAAGAAAGAAATGAATGAACTAACTGCAACAAAGGACTTGACCGTATCGTTGACGACGGATCTGAGTGACAAGGAGGTGGAGTTCGTGGAAGACCCCAACGACAGATGTGCCCTCAACGTGGAATCCTTTGTGGACGAGCAGGAATGGAAGCTCCATAAGGTCAATTCGTCATTATTATTCAGTTATTCAGTTATTATTGTTGTTATTATTATTATTATTGTTGTTGTTGTTTTTATTATTATTATCTGTTTATTTATTTTTTTTAAAGCTAATTTAATTAAAATAATTATCATCATCAACACGAACATTATAAAAATCAACCGCAACATCAACATTTCAATTCAACATTCCAACACCATCAACATCATCAATATCTTAACATTTCAATTCCATCAACACCATCAACATCATCATCAACATCATCATCATCATCATCAACATCATCAACATCATCATCATCAACATCATCAACATCATCATCATCATCATCAACATCATCATCATCAACATCATCAACATCATCATCGCCATCATCATCATCATCAACATCATCAACATCATCATCATCAACATCATCATCATCAACATCATCATCATCAACATCATCAACATCATCATCATCAACATCATCATCATCAACATCTCAACATCATCATCAACATCATCATCAACATCATCATCATCAACATCTCAACATCATCATCTCAACATCTCAACATCACCATCAACAGATGATCCACACGTGGACACGGACGAGAGAGGAGGCCTTCAAATCCATCCAATGTCTCCATCCTGTCTTCTCAGCTGCATGCAAAGCCTCTAGAAGACCAGAGTTCTTCATCTGGAACATTCTCATCGTCATGGTGAGCGAAAACGTCATTTCAAAGTTACGGCGTATTTATTTAGGCGGGTTTGTGTAGAATGTTCGCCTGTTGTGCTGCTGCTGTGGCGGTGCTCGAATGCTTGAACATCTCCAATCTGTCACGTGTGTGTTGTGTGTTTTGTGTTGTGCTGCGTGTCTGTTGTGTGCGTAAGTTGTGTGAGTGTGTGTTTTGTGTGAGTTGTGTGTATGTTGTGTGTTTGATGGGCATTGCACATCCAAGCACTTTAGTTAGATCAAGGCAGTTGGCGCTATATAAATGATGACAATGTTATGTATGTAAAATTAATTTTTATGAATTATAAATAAAAAGTGTTGAGTTTAAAATAAATATTGTTTTGCATTTACTAATATAAAAAATTGATTTTGTAACGTTTAAACTTGTGTCTAAACTCCGCCCACTTCGAAACAAACTGACCAATGAGAACAGTTCCTGATCTGTTCACTGTCCTTCGCCACGTTTGCAGTGGGTGTGGGGCTGCCACAGAACAGACTGCAGCTTTCATTCATCCTGCTGCTGACCACAGTCTCATTCAAATTCGTCGTCAATCAATCTCTGCCTATGATCTCATACCTAACTTACCTTGTCAGTATTGTTTGTGTGTGTGTGCGCGCGCGTGTGCGTGTACCTGGATGCATGTGTATAAATATGTTTATATATGTGTATGTATGTGTACGTGTGTGTACGTCTGCTGCATAGAGTTGCCTTTTTATTAAATAAGATGATTCTATTCTTTAGATTGGATAAGTTTAAAAGTCAAATAAACTTAGCTGATTACAGCAACATTTAACGTTATCACTCTCCTTATAATATTACTATTATCGCCTTTTTAATATTCTTTAATAAACTCTTTTAACAGTATTATTATTATTATTGTTATTGCTTTTTATTATTTTTCAATAAAATTTATTAATGATAATAAAAAAATGATAAAAATGTGATAAAAATATCATATTGGACATGAAGGACAAGTACATACTGAGTTCCATGGCCATATTGTGTTGCATCTGCGTGTGGCACGCCGTCGTCACAGCCATACAGAACAGCATCAACGAAACGACCGCTATTTCCGCCGACAGGGTCGGTATTATCGGTTTCATCGGTTTTATCGGTATTATCGGTTTCATCGGTATTTTGTTGTTTTGGTTAAATTCGGCTGTAGCTACGTGTCGGGTTGTAATTGGATGATAATCGGTTATTAATGTACAAAAAATTTCATTAAATCACTAACCTAATTTTAAAATCACCATTAAAACACTCGCGGTCATTCTTGGTCATCACCAAACTAAACCAGAGTGGCCATCACTACAAATTATTTCAAATAATAATTATAATTTATTAACTATAATTAAATTCTTGAATATTAAACTCATTAATAATTAATATTAATGAATTTTAATCTATAATTCCTCGAAATAATGGAATGAGCAGATCGCGATAGGTGTGTTGGGAGGCATCTATTTAATTTTCCACATCGTATTCATCGTCTCCATCAATTGTTTGGTTAGTTGCATTCTCTGGATCTATCGATGGTTTTTGGTCATCATCTTTTCATCATCAACATCTATCGTCACTCATTTTTTTATTATTATTATTATTGTTATTATTATTATCATTATCCTAATAACAATTATTATTATTTTTACTATTATTGCAAATTCTCTTCTGAGTAATTCTTTCAGAAGAACAGCACACACGTGAATACACACACACACACTCGTGTGAATCCTTGCTATCTTACACAATGTATGTGATGGGTGGGGATCTGCTTGCTTTCGAACCTGGTTACTGCAACAGTAGAACCCGACGTCTTAACCATTTAACCATCATGCCACTATCACTCTTTCAGTTTTGTTTTCTATCTTCACCCATCTTCTTCTTCTTTGTCATCATCATCTTCATCCTCATCAACTTCAAAATTATAATTTTTTCATTGCAGTCGACAACTGTCGTTGTCATCCTTTTCGTTATCATCTTCATCATCGTCGTCGTCATCACCATCTCTATTTCCCTTGCTTTTAGGGTCTTCATCGATTTTGTTCTCTTTCATTTTTGTCCTTCATCCATCATCATCACCATCTTAGTTACTTTTAAAACAAGCTTTAACATACACTCCTATTTTGTTTTCTACATAATCACCACCACCACCATCATCATCATTTTAATTTTCCTCCACCACAACCACCATCCATCCATCAATCAACACAGGCCAAAGAAAATTTGCAGCTCATCAGAGAAAAGGAGAACAATAGCAAGGACCAGGTTTCGTGCTTGTTTGTTTGTTTGTTTGCTTGCTTGTTTGCGTGTTCGTTTGTTTTCTTGTTTGTTTGTTTACTAGTTTGTTTGTTTGCATGATTGTTTGCTTGCCTGCTTGTTTTTTTGTTTGTTTGCTTGTTTTCTTGTTTGTTTGTTCGTTTGCTTTTTTGATTGTTTGCATGTTTGTTTGTTCCTTTGTTTGTTTGCTCGTTTTTCTTCTTTTCTTTTTCTCATTTTTTATTCATTTAATTGATTTTTTAACTGTTTTATTTGCTTATTTTATGCATAATTTTGTTAAATCATTCATTCACTCATTCACTTATCTACTTCCTAATCAATTAGCCATCTACATATTAATTCATCTGTTCATTCACTCATTCATTCATTCATTCATTCATTCATTCATTCATTCATTCATTCATTCATTCATTCATTCATTCATTCATTCATAACATAATTAATTCTTTCATTTGTTTGTCTGCACGTTTATTCTTTCATTTACTTATTCTTTCTTTCATTCATTTTTTTACTCACTCACTCATTCATGCGTTCGTTTAAATTGAAAATCGATGACAAATTTCAGTCACGCAAGTACAACCTCCCGTGCAAATAAAAAAACATTCAAAAACTACTCACGCACACGCACCATGGACGTGCGCGCGTACACATGCATACAAACACACATACATACAATTAACACACACAATTACGTGTAAACAAACATGCACTCCGTAACACACAACCTACATACATTCTTGTCGACACATGTATGGACTTTCGCGCATACTTGTGTCGCAACACACACACACACACACACACACACATACATACACACACACTCACACACGACACACATGTCTACATTATAACTTACCTTCTTGTAGAAAATTAAAATCAATAAGTGCACGTATAAGGAGGGGCTTTCGTGCATGTATAAGAACGTATATCAGCACAACATGTAGACCAAATGTCATACATACATACATATAAACACACACACACATACATACATACATTTAAACATACATACATACATACATATATACTCACACGTACATGCATACAAACCTGCATACAAACATATATACATACATGCAAACATACATACATAAATACATACATACACACATACATACATACATACATACATACACACACACACATACATACAGACATACATACATACATACATACATTTATTCATTCATTCATACATTCATTCATTCATACATACATACATACATACATACATACATACATACATACATACATACATACATACATACATACATACATACATACTCACATACATACATTCATACATACATAAATATTACATATATACAAGTATGCAAACATCTATACAAGCAAAGAAGATTCAGTATAAGCGTACCTTCGAAGATACGCACCTACAGACAGAAAGACTGATACGTACAAACCACAAACACATATACACAAACTTTCGAGATAAAGGCAAGTGTCACATGATGACAAACAAGCGTACAAACACAAACCGACGCATAAATACGAGGGGGCAAGCACACAAACAGCACCGGTCAAAGAAGGGAGGGAGTCTTGCCGGAGGCCAGCTGGGTAGCTGAGTACGTCAAAATATTTTTCAAAAATCTGTTGCTCGAAACGTGTTTTTTTTAACGATTCTTTCATCCCAAAAAATAAAGAACTGCGATGGGTACCTACTGTTACAGCTTTTGATTCGTCTAAGTCTTTATAAGTCTTTATAACTCTTTATAAGTCTTTTTCTAATGTCATTAAATTGTTCGAAAAATGTTTTTTTCAACAGTTGTGGCTTCTTCTTAGGCACTCCAACGTGTTTCTATACTTTTTTTTACATCCTGTCCTGTCTTATGATTGTAATCAAAATAACCCATCAATGAGGGAAAGGTGGAAAAAACGAAAATAAACTCTCGATAGTTCCAAAAACTTACAATTGCAGAAGCTGTCAGAAGCTGTATAATTTCAAAGAATGGATGACTTTTGTATCATATTCGCGTACAATTTTGTAAATCCTTTTAATTAGTTTGGAGTAAAGTGTGAAAAATGCCACCTGGATCGGACCGCCCCGTCCCTTTGCACCAGCAACTACGCTACTGGGTCAAATCAGTTTGATGACTGTGGAATTGATGGGGGTTCAATCCAGGTAACAGTGGCTGGAAACGTAGTGGGCGATAGCAAATGTAACGCACACACTGATATGCACACATAACTCACACGCACACACACACAATGATACCTATATATAATATATGCTGGTAAAAAAACATAATTAATGCAGTAATTTATGAAGTCTACTGAATTTATAGCGTTGGATAGTTTTTTTATTACATTTTTCGATATTTCTAAATTCTTGTCGTCATTATTTATTTTATTAAATTTAGGATAATGTACAGTTTTCCAATTCATATATATATATATTTATTTATTTCAAAATACACACCAGAAGCCCATTATAGGCTCGTATGGTCCAAAAAATCACAGAAATAAAATTATTTATATATATATATTCATTTATTTATTTATTTACTCATCATTTTTTCTCGCCAGGTGGGTATGGACCCGATGGCAAACCAGGGGCACGGAACTATCCCTGAGATATACTTGTCGGACATTGACACGAGGACGATAAAGAACAACATGACGGACCCCAATCAGACCACCCTGACAACGTACAACTGACCAACTGGACTCAAATATCCGCGCCCATGAAATAAGATGCACTGTGATATTAAACAAATAATTAATCAATCAATTAATCAATCAATTAACTAATCAATCAATCGATCAGTTGGTCAATCAATTAATTGGTCACACACAACTATCGTGAAATTTTAAAATTTATTAATAATTTTATTATTATTGAATAATATTTTAGTTAAAAAGTTAGTTACGTGATAGATAATCTATTCAATATGTAAGAACAAGTTCTTCAATTAAACGATTTCAAATGCCAATCTTCATTAGATTCTTTTTTATTTTTCAATAATAATTGTTAACTATAAATCCATATAACATAGTTAGACCTCGACGTTTTGAACGTTTTTACAAGGTAAGTGTCTTTTTCGCATTAGTTTCATGTTTAAATGTCAGTGACCTTCAATGGAAATGTAACAAAATCCAACTTTACCTACTTTTGAATCATTTTCAATTTATTTTTCAATCCTTTGTTGATTTTGTTGTGTAAATATTTCAAAAGCTTTGAACATTTTTAAACATTCTTAATATTTTTAAATTTTCATTTTATTCTGCAAAAATACATTTTAAAATATAATTTTATGGTAATTTTTTTTATAAATATCAGAATAAGAATAGCAAATAACAAACATGTATAATAATAAATATAAAATAATAAATATATGGAGCTGTTACGAACAAAAACGAGCTTTGAGCCTTTTTATAACGAGCTATTTGAACCTTAATAAACTTCTCAGTGTATTAAGGTTCCAACAACTACTGGAAAGATTGCAGGGAAAAGAGATCGCGGTCAACAAAGAATAATAACCTTCGTTAAGTCCTTGTGTCACTTGTTGAATATCATCACATTTCAACTACTACAAAGAGTTAAACATCGGGTTTTGTGGAGGTCGATGATCGCCAATTTCCCGAAAGGATAAAGCACGAAAAAGAAAAAGACGTTATACGGAAAAAATATGATTCTCAGCGTGATGCATTTGGCCTCCAGAGTTCTACATAACGTTGACAATGTACGCAAACTTGAAGGTAGTGAAGAAAAAGAATTTTTGTTGATCGCAGGAACTGAGTCATGACCGAACGATCTTCACATCAACTATATTCATTATTTATAGACTATTTGTATGTTTTCTGCACAAATAATTATAAATTCATGATGTCAATGCTGTTCTTGCTTCTTGTAAAGTTTATAATGAAAAGAATACAATGTGCAATTCTAGTCCTTTATTTTTAGTTCCAAGTATCGGTCATTTCAATTCCTCCGTCGAAATGCTCAACATAGGATTTTATATTTAAAGTCGTATTTGTTGGATTGGATTGTTTTCAATTAGAAATTTTAAATTTATATTGAAAATTAATTTTGAATAGCGGTACACGGTTTTTGGAGTATTCTAATTATATTGCGTGGTGATAATTAAAACAAATCTATTTTGGCTTTTCAAACTCTTTTAAGCATTATATAACAATGGAAACACCAGTGGGTTCCCGGCCCGTTTAAAATTGATAAACTTTTTCAAGTCATGTTTGCCATTCGAGAGTTCATTTAATGTGTCTTAGAAAGTTCTGTATTTAACGGAGTTTTTAAAAATAATCATTATTTGATATTTTTTACTTACTGAATTTTAAAAGTTTAAAATTAAATGGAGAGAATAGGAGAGAACAACAGGGACGAGTACCTGGGTGAGGAAGATGGAGCAGTCCAACAAAACTTACTCCGCAAGAGACCAAACGATGAAAATGCCGGAAACAATTTTTTAAATATAAGTTTGACTTTATATTTTAAACTTGATTTCAATTCAGAAATATCTTATTACTTAATTACTTGCTATATATACCATGTTTCCTCGAATATAAGACAGGGTCTTATATTAATTTTTTCCCAAAAATTGCCCTAGGTCTTATATTCGAGGGAGGGCTTATATTATTATGCCAATTTTTTCGACATCATTTATTTTTCCCAAATACAATAAGATCATCATCTTCTGGGATATCATCATTTTCTTCCAGATCAAGACCTTGAATTCCAGCCAAGATTTCATTTGACTCCAGCTCCTTCAGTATCATAGGTCCCAATCTATCGTGTTTTGCGATGTAGCTCGCTTCAAATGGCGATGTTTTGTCCAAGTACCCTGCTTTCAGAGCCTTTGCAACACAGCTATCAGTGATTTTGCCCCATGCATTCCTTACCCAAGAGACTGCCTCCTGCAGATTAGGCTTCACGAAGTTGTTATTTTTGTTCCTTGACATCCTATTCTCAATATAATCATTGATTTCAAGTCTGAGGTAATCCTTGAAAGGCTTGTTTATTGCAATGTCCAAGGTCTGGAGGTAAGCAGTCATCCCTGCTGGGATCATAACCTGATCAACCCTTCTTTCTGCCAAGAAGTTTTTCATATCCTTTGCACGATGAATGCTTGCAGAGTCCCAAATGAGGAGACCTCGTTGACTTCCTCTTAAAACAAGTGGCAGCATAAGGTCCACCCATTTTCTTATTACATTCTGCGTACTCCATGCCTTTTCTGATTCCAAGACATAAACTCCTCCCTGGCATTCAATCTTTTCTTTCTTTCCTTTGGTAATAAGAAGTGGAGCAGCTTTCTTCCCATCCAGACGAATTGCCAAAATGCAGGTGACGCGTGCACTTTCATATCCAGTTGATGGTACATAAATTGATGAAGCTCCTCTGAAGTCGACTGTCTTTTGAGTGTCCTGACCCATGTAAACAGCAGTCTCATCCATAGCAATCGTGTTGGAAAGCTGATACTTTGAAAAATCCAAACCATCCATGAAAGACTTGAACATGAGAGCTCTCTTGACAGCTTCTTTATCCTCAAGCTTGAACAGTGTTGTTGATCTTCGTAGTGAAAGTTCATACCGCTGAAGGAAGCGATCCAGCCAACATTTTGAAGCTTTGAACTCCTCAGGAGGGATGTCAAGTGTAGGAGCCATCTCGAGAGCAAAAGCTTGAATCTCAGCTCTGCGCACAACCATACGGTTTTCTCTCTTCTCAGCAA